GTCATGTGACCACGCGATGTCTGCAACATCTGTACGTTTAGGTTGTTATTATTATTATTATTATTATTATTATTATTATTAATTTCGAGTTTCGAATATTTCCCATTTGAAAAGGTTTGAGTCAGTTATATTGTAGGTACCAGATTCATGACCAGTCAATCGCTTTGATATCTTCCAATTCTCCACATTTTGTTCATTGCTTCCAAACACTTTTCCTCCATATCCACTGATCATGGAAGGATTAAATTAGATTATCAATGAGAAGCTCATATGAAATCCAAACAAAGATACAAAAATATTTAAGAACCTATCCAATTCCCAAACTAGAATGATTTTATCATCTGAACCTGATGCCAAATATCTTCCATCAATCTGCGACCATCGTACGCAGAGAACTGGGCCTAAAAAGGAAGGAACATCAATAGGAGTCACACTATAATTCAATTCGATATAAATCTAATCGGTAAAAATCATCCCCGATTGGGTGATTACCAACGCACCAGTATGCAGTCCCATAGTACATAGCAATTCTGTAAGATTTCCTTTATTCTCTTTCGATTCATCATAAACTGCCGCCGTACTCCACACCCTGATTTTGGCATCTAGAATCCAATTAATCAGCAGAATCATGGTCAACATATTGCGGGCAAAAGTGCTAGCGAAAGCTTTGAAACGACAAGTGATTTTATAATGGGGAAAGATCTTTGCTAATTAACTTACCCAACCCCCCTGTTGCTACCCTGGAACCGTCGGGATGAACATGTATTGAAAAAATACAAGTTTTATTCTTTTTCTCATCTGAAAAAAGTAATTAGGTAATAAAAGATTAGGGAAATTTTGAACGGCAGGATTGAAAAAACGCGTGAAGAGGCAAAGACCTAAGTGTTCCCATTTGGGCTTGAAACAAAAATAAATGGGTTATTCTTCACTCAAATCTAATAAAGCAAGGTTCACCTCCCAAACTCGAAAAAAAAAGAGAGCCATACTCACGTAAGAGACGCGCATGATTTCAACTGGTTTGTTTATGCTTTAAAGCTTCTCTCTTTCTAAATAGGCCAACACTCCTTTTTGTTTACTTTTTGCTGGTGGTACCAATGTAATACATGAAGTTAAGGTCAAAAAAAAATATGAGAATGTTGACCACTTTCTAAAAATAGCAATGAATTTAATTTTTTATTTTACTGTTTTAATAATAATTAAATTATAATAATATTATTATTATTTTATAAAAATTTTAAACAATTGTAATTTGAAAATTAGAAATAAAATTAGAATTTTACTTGAACTTAATTATTTTCTAGTTTTAATATGTACTTTAAAACATTAATATTTTATTTGTAAAAATTTCAAATTTATAAAATTAATAATTAAAATAATATTTTGATATCAAATTTCAATTTATAATAATAACCAGTTAAAATTGATAATAATTTTATTTGAATTTGTATTCGAGTGGCTGGTCACGTGTAGAAAACGCATGAGCCACACTTATTTTAGAATCTTATGTGATTGTAGTGGTTGGGCTGCACTCGTTAAATAAAAAAAAATAAAAAAAAATTTGTATTAATCCTTTGTAACGTTTAAAAGATTTTATACGTATATATTTGGAAGATCTTAATAATAATATATCGAAAAAAAGGTTATTCCAAAGATTCTTTAATTGTTAAAAAACTTTATTTTTTCCGAGATAAAATGGTTATTCCATATATGTTTCAGTATGATAAGATGGGTTATCTTTTTTATTTCGTAAATACCTTTTAAAAACCAGTTTTTTAACTTTTATTTTTTTTAGAAAATTTTTAAAAATTGAAATTTACAAAATTGAAATGAAAACCTCAAAGTTTTTAAACCATTTCTTCATTCTTTTCATTAAAATTTCAAAAGTTTATTCTGCATATCTTTCGAAATGTTCTTATGATTCATCAATTCAAACTCCGGAATTTTTATCCATTGATAATTCAGTTTCAACAGATTTTCTATTTCCCTCAGAAACCTTTGATAATTCAGTTTCAACAAATCTTCCA